CTTCTTTGGCATTGAGCTATTTAGGAAAAAAAAAACACCCTTTTGGTGTTTAATTTTAAAAGTAAATGTGGCAGAAAGAACAGTGTGTTGTGGGGAAGGACCTGTGATCTTCTGCAGGTGAACTGGCTGGCGTTTCTCAAGTCTTGGGTGGCTTTATCTAGCAAATTGAGGGCATGAAACCAAATTTTCGCTGTCCACTTAAAAAAGTCAATTCTTGGGTTGATGAGGTGTTCAGCAGGAAAAGCGCCTGCTGCCCAGCCTAGCGGCCTGAGTGTGGTCTCCAGGACCACACTGGGGAAGGAACGAGCTGACTCCTGTGGTGTCTTCTGACCTCCACATGTGAACCACGGTGTACATGTGCACACACATTAAAGACAATTTAAATGTAAATTCCTACAGCTTTTACCAAACATCCTTTCTGACTCTGGTAAACATAAACTTCTTTCACATCTAGACAACTGCACTTCACAGTAGCCTGCTATAATTTCAGTTTAACTTTGTTTACTTTGGGTTTTTTGTTTTGTTTTGTTTTGTTTTGTTTTGGTGGGGGGTGCATTGAGACAGGATTTCTTTCTTTCTTTCTTTCTTTTTTTTTAAAGATTTATTTATTTATTATGTATACAGCATGTATGACTACAGGCCAGAAGAGGGCACCAGATCTCATTACGGATGGCTGTGAGCCACCATGTGGTTGCTGGGAATTGAACTCAGAACCTCTGGAAGAGCAGCCAGTCTTCTTAACCTCTGAGCCATCTCTCCAGCCCGAGACAGGATTTCTTTGTGTACCCTTGTCTGTCTTGGAACTTGCTCTGTAAACCAGGCTGGTCTTGAACTCACAGAATTTTTGTGGTGCCATCAAGAACCATACCTTGAGACTGGCTCAATGCATAAAGAGTTTGCCATACAAGTGTGAAGAACTGAGTTCAAATCCCCAGAACCCACAAATATCCAGGGAAAATGGTTCGAATCTGTAATCACAGTGCTCCTATGAGATGGGAGGTGGAGACAGAAGAAGCCCCGGAAGCTTGAAGGCCAACTAGTCTGGCTTATACAGCAGGAAAACAATGAGACTCTGACTGAGAAGACAGAAGATGAGGACTGACACCCAGGATTGTTCACATACATACAACACACACACACACACACACACACCTTGGTTGAAGCATCTCTGTGGTTTGGCTATGTGAACAATACTTTTCTAGTTTAGTTTCATTCTGAACTGATTTTTTTTTTTTTGGAGACAGGGTAGCCTTGGTTGTCCTGGAACTCACTCTGCAGACCAGGCTGGCCTCAAACTCATAGAGATCCACCTGCCACTGTCTCCCAAGTGCTGGGATTAAAGGCGGTGTGCCACCACCACCACCACCACCACCACCACCACCACCAGGCCTGAACTGGATCTTGCAGGAAGGCCCTGCATTTCCCCAATGCTTTGAGTTCTCCCCTTTCATATCACTATGTCTTGTTTAGTTCTTGAGGATTGTGGGTCTGGCATGTATAGCCACGGTGTGCCGGAACAGTGGCTATGAGCCCCTCCATGCTCCTGGGGGTTCGCACTGTTGTGAGGGTGACCACAGAACCCCTGGGCTACGCACCCAACTGGGTCCTGAAGCAAAAAGAGCAGAGACAGGCAGAAACAGGGGCCTGCTGGGGAGAAGGAAGTGTCGGGAGAAGTTACTGTCTGGAACTTGAGCTGGCCCGATGCCTCAGTGGTTGAGAACGCTTGCTTGCTCCTGCGGAGAACCCAGGGCTTCGAGATGCTGGCAGCGCTCACCGTCTGAGCCACATCCCAGCCCAGTGTTGTAGTTTATCTTAATCTGACAGGGCCACAGACTCTCAGGAGAGGAGGGGAAGGGGAAGTGTGAAACATGGCTCCGACCCCAGAAGGAACCAGAGATTGCTTGCTCTGAGCCGAATCTGAGTGACCATGTCTTGCATGGGCCTGGGGAGACGTCTCAGTGGTTAAGAGCGCTGGCTGCTCTTCCAGAGGACCCAGGTTCAGTTCCCAGCACCCACATGGCCCCTGAAAACTGTCTGTAACTCCAGTTCCAGGGGATCTGACTCCCTCACACGGACATACATGCAAAACAGCAATGCACAGAAAATAAAAATATATTAAAAATTTTTTTGTAAAAAGTCTTCCACCATGGATGCCATTACACGAACAGTTTATAATCCCAGAAAGTCATAAGTTTAAGGCATTTTCCAAATACAATGGTAGAAATATCAGGTAGGCGGGTTATAGCAAAACAGGGCAATCTCTGCTGTAGTCTCAGATGCTATCTGAAGACATCCTTAACTTTGGGGTTGAAGGAAACTAGTGGCCAGCTAAAACTACATTCTGCAGGCTTTGGATGACAGCAGAGGGACAGCAGGTTAGATGGAGAAGTGTGCAGTGAATATCTGTCAAGGACACTGAAGGTAGCCCCAGGTGATGGTGGTTTCTGAACCACACTATGCTGACGCTCTGTAATCATGAGGTTCTCCTCGGTGAATCAACCCTGTGAAACCTCCAGCACCCGGGAGAACTTCAGGTCACAGCTTCAACTCTAAAGTGTGGGGCTTGACCTCGGAGGCAGTCTGTGTTTCCCAGGGAAGCATGGGTGTGTGATGGGGGTTAAGGGCAGCCTGAGAACGCTCTTTGAGGCATCCCTAGGTGGCCTTGCCGAGCCTCAACCACACCTGAGTTATGAAGGCTGGGCTGCCACCACCCCAGCTTCTGGGCCCATGTCACCCCCGTCTGCCTGTGTGTGTGTTCGTATGTGGCGGGGGGTGGGGGGGGGGGGGGGGGTGGGGGGGGGGATGGGGGGGGTGTCACATGTGCTCACGCGCAGAGGTCAGAGGAAAATCTTGTATGTCGGTTTGAGACAGCTGATCTATAAGCTTTCCACTATCCCCCGCCTGTTTCCCATCACAGCTGGACTTGCAGCTTTTTATGAGAGTCCTGGAATGTCTTACTGGCTAAGTCATCTATTCCCCCACCCCCTCCATTTGCCTTTACTCCCAAGCCTCTCTGGGGAGGAGAAGCCATTGTTTCTTACTCCATCCTGCAGCCTGTACTGTGTGGGTAAGGTTCTCTGACATTCTAGGGGGTCCTACACCTGACTCACAGGATCCAGATCCCAGTAGAAGTGGCCAGACCCAAGACTGTATGAGCCCCAGGGAACCTGCAATTCTTCCTTACGTTCTTGAAAATTAGGTATTTTTAAACATAGTTGGGTGGTGGTGGCATACCCCTTTAATCCCAGCACTTGGGAGGTAGAAGACCTCAAATCTCTGAGTTTGAGGCTAGTCTGGTCTACAGAGTGAGCTCCAGGGACAAGATAGCCAGGGCTACACAGAGATACCCTGTCTCAGAAAAAAAAACAACAAAACAACAACAAAACATAATTGCAGGTATTTTTCTGCCTTATTAGTCTCTATGTTCCTTTGGAAATATCCCTGAAAAAAATCATCTTCCAGGGATATCATAAAGTAGCTAGTCTCTACATGGGAGCAAATATTAAATAGTTCTTTTAAGCCCAGCGGTGGTGGTGCACACCTTTAATCCCAGCACTCGGGAGGCAGAGGGAGGTGGATCTCTGTGAGTTCGAGGCCAGCCTGGTCTACAGAGTGAGTTCCTGGACAACCAGAGCTATTATACTGAGAAACTCTGTTTTGAAAAACTGAAAAAATAAATAAAACTTTATCATAGTGATTCATGCCTGTTATCCCAGCACTTAGGAGGTAGAGGCAGGAGGATCAGGAATTCAAATCCAGCCTTAATGGTGGAATGAGTCCGAGGCCAACCTGGGCTACATGAGACCCTGTCTCAAACAATGAACACACAAAGAAAAAAACCAAAGTACCTTTTTCTGTCTCCCCGACAGGCCTCTCGCTCTGTAGCCTTGGCTGGCCTGCAATGTGATGTAGACTAGGCTAGCCTCAAACTCACAGAGCCCCTCCTAGTGCTGGGATTAAAGGCACAGCTTACATATAGTTTTTCTTTTAAAGAAAGAAAAAAATTGCAATTTCATAAGTCTAGTTTTAATGACTATATTTGACACTAAAATGCTTGTATTTAATGTTAGTAAATAACTAAGCCAATTGTTGTATGCTCCCATTTCTAAAATTGGAGTACATATAATTTACCTTTTTTGTTTCAGTGTTGATCAAACTCAGGGCCTCACATGTGTGAAGCAAGCAGTCTGTCATTGAGGGACACCCCCAGCCCTCAATCTCTTAAGTAGTGTATAATTTGATGTTTTTTTTTATATAGCCACAAGGAGATAGATATATGGCTATGTAGGTACCACCACGTTTCCTTTTCATCATTTCTTTAATTACTACTTCTTTTTTTTTTTTTTTTTTTTGGAGCTAAGGATCAAACCCAGGGCCTTGCTGAGCTAAATCCCCAACCCTCATCATTTCTTTAAATCTGCGTGTGTGTGTGTGTGTGTGTGTGTGTGTGTGTGTGTGTGTGTGTGTGTGTGAACATGGAGGTCAGTGGACAGTTTTCAGGAGGCCGTTATCTCTCCTCCCTGTGAGCCAGGGTCTCTCTTGCTTCTCCACTGCACAGAGTAGTGCAAGTTACCGGCTCTGGAGCTTCCAGATGATTGTCCTCTCTGCCTCCTTCCCGTCTCCCCATAGGTTTGCTGGGATCACAAATGCTCACCACCATATCTGGCTTTTTATGTGGGTTCCAGGAATAGAACTTGAGTTCTCGATCTTGCACGGCAAGTGTTTACCTGCTGAGACATCTCCCCAGCCTCTCCAGAGTGTTTTCTTTCTCTTCTCGGGCACCAGTGTCTCCACAATCTTTCCTCATTCCAGTTCCTGGTCACCATTTTTTAGACAAAGTTCAGGTAGCCCAGGCTGGCCTCAGACTCAGTATGTAGCTGAGATGATCTTGAACTTCTGATCCTCCTGCCTCTGCCTGCCAAAAGCTGGGATTGTAGGCCTGTGCTGTCTCGCAGCTCTAAAGTTTTAATATACCAGCTCGTTCGATGTATCTCTTCTAGGATCCTAAACACTTCAAGTCTGAGAAGACAGGCCGGGGGCAGCTGAGAGAAGGCTGGCGGGATAGCCATCAACCCATCATGTGCTCCTACAAGCTGGTGACCGTCAAGTTCGAGGTGTGGGGCCTTCAGACCCGAGTGGAGCAGTTTGTGCACAAGGTGAGTGATCAGCCCAGGCCCTGGGGTTTGGACAAGGTCGATGCATCATTGACAAGTTGAACTGGTAGCAGGTACCTGTATCCAGAAAATGCTTTCAGGTAAAGACTTATTTTCTATATGGGTGTAATTTCCTCCTACTGCTCAGTGGAGCAGTTTTATATGTGACCTCTTGTTCTGTGACCTCCGAATCTATTGGATGAGTCTATTTGGGAAGTGGGACTCACAGAATGTTCGGCTGGCTCTGGCAATCAGGCTAATCTACCTCTAGGTGGGGGCACTTGGCAAGAGCCCAGAGGGCTTATCTCCGGGCACAGCTGCCAGGGATAATTGTTCCTTGGAAGAACTTGCATACGTAGGCACCAAAAGTAGAAGAGGCCCCAACAGGCAGAACAAGAGCTCCAAGGGGGCCCATTGGGGGCACACCTCAGCGCTCTGCTCTGCATTGTCCCCTTAAAGGATGATGAACAAGCTTGGAGCACAGATTCTTTTTAATTAATTTATTTGTTATTTTGTGTGCATTGGTGTTTTGCTATGGGTGTCGGGTCCTCTGAAACTGGAATTACAGACAATTGTGAGCTGCCACGTGGGTACTGGGAATTGAACCCAGGTCCTCTGGAAGAGCAACCAGTGCTCCTAACCACTGAGCCCTCTCTCCAGTTCCCTGGAGCACAGACTTTTAACCATGCACTCCCTTTGGAAAACAGATTAACTTTGGTGCAGGAACAGATTTGATGCTGGCACAAGTTTCCTCAGGGTCTCAAATACAACTCTTGTCCACGTGACTCTGAAATAACGGAACATGAGATGCGGAGTAGTGCCCTCTGTAACTGCTTCCATTTCCATGAGGATAAATAACCAGGCAGTGAGATGGCTCAGCGGTAAAGGCCCTGCCGCCAAGCCTGACGACCTGAGTTCAATCCCCAGGACCCACATGATGGAAGGAGAGAACCGATGCCCACAAGTTATCCTCTGACCTCCATACATGTGTTGAGGCTTGTGTGAGCATGTGTACATACAACAATGAATATATGTAATAAATTTTTAAACAGCTGGGCAGTGATGGCTCATGCCTTTAATCCCAGTAATAAGGAGGCAAAGGCAAGTGGATCTCTGACTTCGGGGCTAGCCTGGTCTACAGAGCAAGTTACAAGACAGTCAGGGCTAGACAGAAAAATTATTCCTCAAAAAAGACCAAATAAATAAATGAGGTAAAAATAAAATCTGTTTTTTAAACAGATACGTAGGTGATTCCCAGTGTCACAGAGGCTGGGGCGTGGCCCGGTCGACAGACTGCTTGCCTGGTGCACATGCAGCTGTGTTACAGCCTCAGTACTGAGAAACCAGTCATGGTGGTTGGCAGCTGGAATCCCAGCACTCTGAAGGTGGAAGCAGGGAGATCAGAAGTTTAAATTCATCCTCACTTGCATAGTGAGTTCAAGGCCATCCTGGACTACAAGATGTTTATAAGACCCTGGCCCCCGCTCCCACACACACACACACAAAGAACAAAATACTTCAAGTGTTTTTCTCTATATTTTAGAAAAATTGGCTCTCTGCTTCTCTACTAATGACTAACAAACAATAGCTTTCCAGAATTCCTTCCTCAATACTGTTGTTTTTCCTTCAGGCACTGGGTTTTTCCTACGTAACTGAACCTGTCTGCAGACTGGGTCACGACAGTAGCAAGGTGGAGATCTTACTGTACTACTGAGACTGGCCTAAAGCTCCTCCTGCCTCAGTCTCCCCAGTAGCTGTGATTTACAGGTGTGCATCTAGCATCTGGCTATAAAGTTCCATTCCTGAAGTTAGAACTGTGGAATCGAAGGCCACCTCCCAGACCCTTCACCGCCCGGGCTGGCAGTCAGAGCAGGCTCTGTGATGGATCTGAGGGCCTTGCGATTTTCTTACCTGAAAAGCTTGTAGTTCTTTCTCTGCTGGGCTCCATACACAGCCCACCAGCCAGAATAGGGAATAGGGTGAGGTGCAGAGCGGTCAAATTCAGGGACTGCCCTCGTTGTATTTCCATTGGTGTGATAAAACATCCTGACAAAAGGAAACCTGGGCAAGAAAGGGTTTTTTTTTTTTTTTTTTTTTTTTTTTTTTTGGTTTTTTGAGACAGGGTTTCTCTGTGTAGCTTTGCGCCTTTTCCTGGATCTTGCTCTGTAGACCAGGCTGGCCTCGAACTCACAGAGATCCACCTGCCTCTGCCTCCCGAGTGCTGGGATTAAAGGCGTGCACCACCACCACCCGGCTGAAAGGGTTTGTTTTTATTCTGGCTTACAATTCCCGCTGCAACCCACGATTGTGGGGAAGTCACAGCAGCATGCGCTTGAAGCAGCTAGTCACGTCACAGCCACAGTCAAGAGCTGAGAGAAATAAATGTTTGCACGGCTGCTGCTCAGCTCACTTTCTCCACGCATACAGTTCAGAACTTAAACCTAAGGAATGGTGCCACCCACGATGGGCAGGTCTCCCCCACAGCAATTAAAGCAGATAATAAAAATCCCTCACGCTGGAAAAACAAAGTTCAGAAAAGGGTGTCGTGTCCCCTGGGACTGGAGTAATAGGTGGTTGTCAGCTGCCGTATGGGTGCTGGGAATCCAACTCAGCACCTAAGCAAGAGCAACGAGTGCTCTTAACCGCTGAGCCGAGTCTCAAGCTCCTGTTTTTATTCCTTTGAAGGAGGGTCTCATACAGCCCAGCCTGGCCTCAAATGCACTGTGTAGCCAAGGCTAGCCTCAAGTGCCCAAGCGCTGGAACTGCAGGTGTGCGCCACCACACTCGCCTCCTTCCCCCCTCCTGTGGTAGAGTCGGTTTGTTTGGTTTTGTTCCCCAAATCATCTCCTTGAACTGGAGAATCATTGTAGTGGTCATGCATCTTACTTTCTGTCTCAGAACATGTTTAAAATGCCCAGAGCTCATTGCATTGATTTCCTTGATGATGACTTGGGCTGGTTCTGAGAACCCATTTCTTTAAAATACCTGTGAGAATGATGCTTGGGTCATATGTATTCCACTCCTGTGCCCAATTCCAAACTAAATGAAGTGTTATAGCCCCCCACCCCCAACACACCTGCTCTGCTAATGAGGGGGTAGTTACATGGACTGAAGTGGGGGGTGTCTCTAAACACCTTTGTTTTTTAAAAAACCTATTCACAGTAGGGGGAGTGGTATTCAAAGCCAGCCATTAACACATTATTGAAGCCTTGTTGCCAGCCACAGCTGTGTTGTGCTTAATATGATAGGATGGATTTACGAGTGCCTTTATGCTGTTCTTTTGATTTCCATGAATTTGACACAGTCAGCACTCAAGTGTGTATGGCTGCATGGTATTTCTTAGATGTTTTTACATGTCTTCACTTCCAATCATAAAAGGACCTCACCAAATACCCAGAGGCCTAGAGGAATAAACACTTCATTAGAAACGCTTCCCTTGTTTCTGCAAATCCACCCAATTAAAACCCTTTGCTTATCGAAACACACTTCAGCCTTCCATGAGAGGTTTTCGACAGTCACTGGATTTGTTTGGCAAAAAGAAGAGAAGGAATGCTGGAGGCAGTCTGTGAGTTTCCAAGAAATGTAATAAGGAATATTTATGGGCCGAGGAGGTGCCCTGAGAGGTAAAGTACTTGCCGCCTGAGTAGGAAAACCTTCAGCTAGGATCCCCAGCACCAACATAAAAGCTAGATCTAGGCATGGTAAGGCCTATGTATATGTAAAAACACTAGCACTGGGCAAGTGAGGCTGGGGGGGACCCTTAGAGGCTCATTATTCTGCCAGTCTAGCCAATTGGTGGTTTCCAGGTCCAATGAGAGACCTTGTCTCAAAAAATGGGATGGAGCCTGGCAAGATGGTCCAGTGGGTAAGGCACTTACCACCAAGCCTGATGACATGAATTCAGTCCTCAGCCCCATATGGGGGAAGGAGAGAAGTTGCTTCTGCAAGATGTCCTCTGTCACACATGTGCTGTGACATCACACACACACAAAGTTAATATAAAAAATTTTAAATAAAGTACATAGCAATAGAAGACTGCATCCAGCATCAGCCCACGGCCCTTCACATGTACACATACTGGTGAGTGCACTTATTTAATAAATATACACACAAGCATATTTATACAGAATGAAAAGGTGTCCCATGAAATAAAAGCATATAAGTTGTACTACACATGCTCACAAACAATATATGTGTGTGTGTATACATACACACACACACACACACACACACACACACACACACACACACACACACAGTCTCTTCTTCAGCCTTCCATCCCAATTTCCCCATAAGAAACAATTGCAGGCTATACAGGTATCAGAACCTGAGTTCAGACTACACATACCTATTACTCCAGCTCTGGAGAACAGAGACAGATTCCAAGAGTCAGCCTGTTCAAGCTTCAAGCTTCCAGTTTACTAGGAGACCCTGTCTCAAGGCAATAAGGCAGGGAGCAAAAGAGGAAGACACTTGGTGTCCTACTCTGACCTCTCCATGGGCATGCACATCTGCCTACAAACACACCACACACCACACACACAAACACACAGAAAAAGACAAAAATAAATAAATAAATAACCTATCTGTGAAGCAGGTGGTTCCCAGTTCGGAGGATCTTGGCAACGGCCGGTGTCATAATCCTTCTGTCCATATGTGCTGGCAGCCAAAGGCTGACATGCACAGACAAGGTGTTTGCTCTTTTCTTTTGGTAAGCTTGTGTTTATTATTATTACCTGTGAGAGTGCCACCGCATGCCCTGGAGGTCAGAGGACAAGAGTTGGTTCTCTCCTCCAGCCATAGGTAGGTCCCAGGGATGGAGCGTAGATCATCGGGGAACACAGCAAGCACCTCTGCCCGCTGAGCTACCTCAGGGGCCCCAGCGTTTGCTCTCGATGAGCCCTTTTCCATACTTAGCGTCAGTGAATGACTCCATCTTCCGTGTGAGTCAGGCTGAAGGTGTGCACACACTTCCGACAGCTTCTGGACACTCATTCAGCACTAACCGGAATGACTTCTCTAGGCTAATCACCCTGAGATTTAACTAGTACAGAGCCTACTTCTTCTTTCAAGGATGGTATATGTATTGGTGGAAATGAACACTTTTCTGAGTAGCAAAGATCACTGTCTTAGTGACTTTTCTATTGCTGTGAAGACACACTGTGGCCAAGGCATCTTACACAAGAATGTGTTCAACTGGTGCTTGCTTACAGTCTCAGAGGCTTAGTCCGTGATCTTCATGGCAGGGAGCATGACAGCAGATAGGCAGACATGGAACTAGCGCAGTAGAGAATTGTTTACATCTTATCCACGAGTTGGAGGCAGAAAGAGAGCTAACTGGAATGGCATAGGTCTTTGAAACCTCAAACCCAATGGACTAACAAGGCCACACCTCCTAATCCCTACCAAACAGTCCTACCAACTGAGGACCAAGTATTCAAACCTGTGAGCCTATGGGAGTCATTATCATTCAAACCACCACAATCACTTAACATTCTCTTTTCTCTGATGGAATATCCCCCACATCCCGCCCAACTGTTCCTCTGGGATGCTCACAGGCTGAAGCAGGTGTGTTGGGGGTGTCAATAAGACTTTACTTTGTTCCTTTTGGAATTGAGCAATGATTGCATGTGACCAAAGCATCATCCTTAGAGTATGTGAGACACAAGGTAAATAAATATCCTGTAGGCTTGCTTAATTTTCATATAATAAAAAGAAAAAAAAATAGTGAACTATTATTGAAAGAGATACAGGACTGGAGAGATGGCTTAGTGGTTAAGAGCACTGGCTGTTCCTACAAAGGACCAGGATTTGGTTCCCAGAACCTACATGATGGCTTACAACTATCTGTAACTCCAGTTTCAAGATTTCTGACACCCTCTTTTGACTTCCTCAGACACTACATGCATGTGATACATTTACGTGCAAGCAGGCAAGATACTCATACACATAAAAATAAATAAACAGATCTTTAAGAGAGAAATGATCTCAGCAGTGGTGGCGCAAACCTTTAATCCCACTACTCAGGAGGCAGAGGCAAGTGGGTCTCTGTGAGTTTGAGGCCAACTGGTCTACAAAGTGAGTTCCAGGATAGCCAGAGCTGTTACACAGAGAAACTCTGTCTTAAAAAAACATAAACAAGAAAGAAAGTGGCGGGGCGGGGGGACGGACTAGGAAAGCTGAACTAAAATATTTTATATTACTGTACTTTATCGTTATTATTTGGAACTTATCTGTATAGTATGGAAGAGGGGGCTTCTTGCCCATCCATGCTCTTATGAAGACCAGAGGGTGACATCTGACCATGTCTTCCACTCTCTCCTCTCTCTCTGTATGTCTTTATCTCACTAGCATTTTAAAATTTCTCTTTATTTTTTTTCTTTTTTTTTTTTGGTTTTTCGAGACAGGGTTTCTCTGTGTAGCTCTGTGCCTTTCCTGGAACTCACTTGGTAGCCCAGGCTGGCCTCGAACTCACAGAGATCCGCCTGGCTCTGCCTCCCGAGTGCTGGGATTAAAGGCGTGCGCCACCACCGCCCGGCTTCTCTTTAATTATTTTACTACATTTTGTTTATCTGTTTGGTGGGAGAGGAGGACATCTGAGTGTCATGGTGCATAGGGAGGTCAGAGGGCAATCTGTTATCTCCCCCCACCATCTCTACCAACTGAGACTCGGGGATTGAACTCAGGAAGGCAGGCTCGGCAGGAGGCACCTTTACCCTCTGACCCATCTCACTGACCCCAGCTTATGTTTTGAGACAGGCTCTCTCACTAAAGTTGGGGTTCACTGACAAGCCAGAATGGCTGGCCAGAGAGCCCCTGGTGAACCCCCATTTCCACTCTCCCCAGCACTCCCCAGCTACAGGCATACATAACACCTCTAATTTTTGCATGGGTGCTGAAGACACAAACTCAGGTCCTCATGCCTACACAGCCAGCCCCTGACCCCCTGAGCCGTGCCTCCAGCCCCTCACCCCCAGACAGCCTTGATCACACCTGGTATTATTTCAACCTCCTCTTCTTCTTCAGGTGGTCCGAGACATCCTGCTGATTGGACACAGACAGGCCTTTGCATGGGTTGATGAGTGGTACGGTAAGTCAGATGGCCCAGAATAACTTGGAGAACAGTTTCATAACACGTTGACTCGGTTTTCAGTACACCCCGCTTCAAGTGTCACCTAGGACAGCAACAAAGGGCAGGCCACCGCTTCCTGTATTGGAAATAGCTCTGTCCGGTGAGCCTGATAAAGATGTAATTATAGACGCTTGGTCTGAAATAACCACAGAACTATTGACCAAGTAGGACCTTGGCATGCTCATCTAGCATATACACGGAGCTCCATTGTTCTCTGTGGGATGGATTTTAAACCCATCCTAATTTATCCCAAACTTCAGCATTATCTGAAGCATCTTATTGAGTAACAGTCCCTTGATGCGGGGAACACTTGAAACAGTCCCTCATTGCATATATATAATTTCTCTCCGATGTCAAGGACAGATGGAGGCTCAGGTGCCTGGATGATCCTAATTGAAAATATTGCTCTGGCTTTTTGGTTTGGGTTTTGATTTGTTTTTCTTCAATGTCATGGGAAGATGTTACACTAGTTCTGTACGTTGTCAGTAAATGAAAACAAGGTTTGCTTGGTACCACGATGGATGGAGTGCCCTCCCTGGATGCTCAGCCCTGCAGTTGTATGGACATGAGACTTCTGCTTTCCCTCAATCGGTCATCAGGTTGCTTGTGTCCTTGGCTATAAATAGAAGCGAGCACGCCCAACTGGTGACTTAGAATGGAGCTGACTTTATGTGTCTATTGTCCTGAGTCACATTGTATGTCCTGGGTGTAACCTAGATTGTAGTTTGGTCTTTTTCTACCCATGCCTTCGGGTTCCACAGCATCAGGTGACCCCCTCCCCAATCCCACCTTTAAGAGAAAGGCTACGTTGGACAGAATGGGTGAGGGCAATGTTAGTCATTCATACTGCCAGCGGCTTCTCAGTGCTGGGTTAAAAGGCATGGTCCTCTGAGCTATAGACTCGGTTTGTTTAGTTTCATGTTTCCGTTTTCCCAGATCCGCACCTGCTGAAGAGTAAGTGCATCGCCCTGGTTTGCCCAAATGCCCATCACAGCTCAGATTTCTGTGCCACACCCCCACAGGATGATTGTCATGCACTACATTGTCGGAAAAGTTCTCCAAGTCCTGTCTTTCATGAAGCAAGGGGATGGAGAGTATTCTGGGATTGTTTCCTCTGGTCCTTTATTTTTCTGAGTGTTTTATTTTGTTATTTTTGTTTTTTGTTTACTGGGAAGCAAGTCTCAGGGGGAATACGGACCTTTTCCCAACACACACACACCACACACACAAAAAGAAAGAAGGAAGGAAGGAAGGAAGGAAGGAAGGAAGGAAGGAAGGAAGGAAGGAAGGAAGGAAGGACAAACAGGTGACATAATGCCTAGCCTCTCTTGGTGTATACTTCTCTGAGCTCATGATTCCCTTATTGCCAACTACTAGGAAATATCACTGTTGTGCCCAGATCGCGACCCCCAGAGAGACCACCAAAGACGAGCATGCCGGAATGCAAAAGCAAGGTTTAATTCTGGATATACAAGCCTAGGCAGGGACTTCATCCAATACATCCAACGCAGTGGAGGCTGGAGGAAGTCCCCACCTATCTGCAAGCTCAGCTTTTAAAGGGAAAAATCACAAGGTTACATCATTTAGGGGTGCTAGTACAGGTACAATTCTGATTGGCTCGCTTCTAGGGACTTCTAGAAATTACTTCTAAGGGAGTGGTTGCCCGCCACCATTTCTCATTGGCTGCCCTCAGGTGGGGGTATTTTTATGGTCAGTTACCCTGGAAACCAGGGAGAGGACATTCCATAGTCGGACAGGCATTACCTCGTGACTACCTTGTGACTCTGTACTTTTACACTTCCTGGTTTCTGGAATCTGAACTGACTGGTTTCAGTAACTAATGGCCTATTCCTAAAAGGAGAAATCTTAGGCCTTAATTTTAGGGTTAAAGCATTTTGGTCTTATTTCTAAGATGGCTCATTTTGGTCTCACAATCACAAGGACAGTCAAAGAAGAAATGTCACAAGGCTAGGCCTGCATTGATTAGAAGTTTAATCAGCCAGGCAGTGGTGGCCACGCCTTTAATCTGCACTCAGGAGGCAGAGGCAGGCGGATCTCTGTGAGTTTGAGGCCAGCATGATTTACAGAGTGACATCCAGGACAGGAACCAAAACTACACAAAAAAGCCCTGTCTGGGGGGCGGGGGGAGTTTAACCAAAGGACAGGGACCTGGAAGACCCAAAATCTGCCACCTTGATGACCAGGAGGCAAAGCTCTCAACTAGAGTTCTCTAACACCAAAATGCTACTGAGGACTTTGCAGAAAAGAAATTTTAAAGGGAGGACTGGACTCTGCTCAAGAGGGCAAGACATTGCAAGCCTGCCCTTCAAAAAAGAGGGTTTGGGGCCACCTAGATGGCTCAGTGGGTCAAGGCATTTGCTGCCAAACTGGTGACCTCAGTTAAAGGTGAAAGGGGAGAACGGAGTCCACAGAGGTGTCCACTGACACCCACACAAACCCCGGGGTAAACATATTGTGGATGCATAGAGAACTGAGTCCACAGAGGTGTCCACTGACACCCACACAAACCCCGGGGTAAACACATCATGCATGCATAGAGAACTGAGTCCACAGAGGTGTCCACTGACACCCACACAAACCCCGGGATAAACATATTGTGGATGCATAGAGAACTGAGTCCACAGAGGTGTCCACTGACACCCACACAAACCCCGGGATAAACATATTGTGGATGCATAGAGAACTGAGTCCACAGAGGTGTCCACTGACACCCACACAAACCCCGGGGTAAACATACTGTGGATGCTTAGAGAACTGAGTCCACAGAGGTGTCCACTGACACCCACACAAACCCCGGGGTAAACATATTGTGGATGCATAGAGAACTGAGTCCACAGAGGTGTCCACTGACACCCACACAAACCCCGGGATAAACATATTGTGGATGCATAGAGAACTGAGTCCACAGAGGTGTCCACTGACACCCACACAAACCCCGGGGTAAACATATTGTGGATGCATAGAGAACTGAGTCCACAGAGGTGTCCACTGACACCCACACAAACCCCGGGGTAAACATATTGTGGATGCATAGAGAACGGAGTCCACAGAGGTGTCCACTGACACCCACACAAACCCCGGGATAAACATATTGTGGATGCATAGAGAACGGAGTCCACAGAGGTGTCCATTGACACCCACACAAACCCCGGGGTAAACATATTGTGGATGCATAGAGAACTGAGTCCACAGAGGTGTCCACTGACACCCACACAAACCCCGGGATAAACATATTGTGGATGCATAGAGAATGGAGTCCACAGAGGTGTCCACTGACACCCACACAAACCCCGGGGTAAACATATTGTGGATGCTTAGAGAACTGAGTCCACAGAGGTGTCCACTGACACCCAAACAAACCCCGGGATAAACATATTGTGGATGCATAGAGAACGGAGTCCACAGAGGTGTCCACTGACACCCACACAAATCCCGGGATACACACATCATGCATGCATAGAGAACTGAGTCCACATTGTTGTCCATCTACACAAATCCCAGGATACACATACCATGCATACATAGACAATAATAAAAAAAAAAAAAGAAAGTTGATTTTTTTTTTTAATGAGAAAAGAGATTGACAACCAACCAAAATGAGAGTGAGTATCTAGTAAAGGAATATGGAGGATGGACCCTGATTCTTTTCTATCTCAGCTAAGCCTGCAACCTGGAGGTGATAACTTAAGGGCATTTAATTAAGAGAGAGAGACTTGCCTACCACATGCAAGGTTCCTTTAGAATTCTCAGGTTATTACAAGAGCCTGAAGCTAGAATAATATATTAGATGAAACACAGGCTCTCCAGTCCAAAGGTCTTTAAGAATTCCTACTTATTTACTCAGGATGAGTTAGAGGAAGACATTAACAGCTCAAGGAGTCTATTGATCACAAAATTCTCTTCGTGTCTGAGTTGTGGTTGAAAGGCATAGGCTTTGGTGGATGTAGACCATCAGGGTGCCTGTCCACCCCAGAGTGGCCTCCACCCACCCCCTGTGTCCACAGTCCCAGTCCCAACCAAAACAAGAAGCAGCCTTTTCAGGCAGCAAGGGATCTGAGAACCACACCATCTATTTGGTATAAACTCTTGCAGACCTCAGCAGCCCAGCTGAGCTGCTGGCCTGGAACACAGTAGCTCCTTCATTACCTGACACAGACTCTCAGGAAATTAAATGAATAGAAACAGGCCCTGCCACAGAATGTCTCCTCAGCTACTTAACTGACTCAAGGTCGTGCAGGGAACTATGGGTCTTTCAGATAGATGGGTGTGTTATTACCAAGGCAAAGTCCAAACCAGGATAACCCTTCAGTTAGGGTACCTGGGGTTGCTTTTTTTCCTTTGGTCTAGTACAGGCTGAGAGGCCTTCATTAGTAAACAGGGATAAGGTCCCAAGTGAAAAACCCTCTTCTGGAGTCTCTTACAGTTCTGGTTCTTAAAGCAAAGTCCCTGGACCTGCAACCTCTGCATGTCTGTTAGAGATGCCCATTCTGAAGCCGCTAGCCCACTGTGGTTCTGGTACCCCTCCAGGTGATTCTCAACTGTTGGCTCACAGCCTGTGATATAAGCCAGACTGGCTTGCAAGGACAGCTTAAATAATTCATTCCAAATAGAATAGACTCGAAGAATCATAGACATCTTCAGGGCCAGCCACTAAGCTCTGGTGACTTAGAAGAATTAGAAGAAAAAATAAGTACCCCCCTCTTTATACAGATGTGTTAGAAAAGGGTCCCCCTCCTGGGCAGACTCAGCAGGTGCTGTATTGTTGGGGCTGGGTTTGGGCGCCATTCACCTCCTGAGCAGTATGTGTGTGCAGTACACACTGTCCATCCTTCAGCACCATCCAGGACAGCCCTGGCTGCCTCGCTCTCTTTCAAATTAGCCTCCCCATCTCCAGTGCTTAACTATGAGTGGAGAAAAGACATTGTCAATAATGGTGA